TCTGCGTGGCAGTCCGGCATGGTAACCGTTCGGCCACGGAGGTAGTTGAAACAAACAGCAGTAGAGCTCGTCGCGTTATGTACATAACTGAAAAAATATATTTTATTTAGATCTTGAAAGTCAATTTAAGTATTTTATTGAACTTCTTGAAGAGATTGATAAGTAGATTATATATTAAATGCAGGGTGTATAGCTTAATCTGACGTAGAACAAAATGATGAAAATGTTTTTGTTAGAACCATTGACTTAAGTCAATGGTTAGAACCAACGAATTTTCTAACATACGATTCTTTATATTACGATTCTTAACATATACATTATTCGTTATCGAACTACTTGTACTTTATCATAGTATTGTATCTAGTTTTGTGAACCGATTAAAAAAATCTCTTGACGGCAAAGGGACAGCTTCTAATTGTTTTATTCTTTTAGTAGCAATAGAGATCCTTGTGAAAGAGTTCGTCCAGGAAAATACTGCCATCTTAATTATTTCTGCCGCCAAGCTGTACTATAAGCATTACTGCGTTCCGGTTTTGAAGGGTAAGCGTGCTAGAGAAATTACAAAAGTGACGAACAGGGTGACGGTAACAGTACAGCTACTAGTAGTGGTGACGAGCGCAGTAACAGTGCCCCTCAGATGTTTGCGGTTTAAAGCTCTGAGTGGTATTGCACGGACAGGAGTGTCGCTTATTACCCGGCGCACGACTTGTTCGATCCGTCTCTATGTATAAAAAAACTTTTTGTTTTACCACTTTTGGAGACACGATAAACTTTATGAGAAGAAAAATCAAACTGTCGTGTTGATATTCAGGATTATTACAAAAATTACATAATGAATAAAGATGTTCATAATAAGAGACGCGGAGACTGCCTTTACCTGAGTATAGTGTCCAATGCTAGTAAAACCATTGTATGACATTTTATCGTATGTGTACTTTTTATGTTCTTCGTACCATACTTGAATGGTCTCATCCGGGTTAAATGTAGATTTTGAAACAAAGCTGCGGTGTAAGCACAGATTTTCTCCTGAAATAAATCTCTGTGATGCTGAAATATCAATAAAAATTTAAAGTAAATTTTATGCCTTTTACTAATTGAAATGGATAAAAATCAAAGCATAAGGGCCAATGAAGTGTGCCATAATACTTTCATATATTCTAATCGTAGTTGTGTAAGGTGCAACTATGATAACAACGTTGATATATGAATATATTTCTAATTTGTGATATAAACTAATGACGTCATTATACCAAAACGTGTAATCGAAATCAAAAGACGACCGGAGCCACTCTTTTTTCAATCCTTTTCTTTACTCATGTGGTTCTGGTAAGTGTAAGCAGTAGTTACTATGAACGTTGTTAGTATAATTCGACATTAATATGTCCATGAGTGTATCTACATAAAAAGATGATTTCAAAGTTTTACTCACTTTACTTTATTCTTGGGTATAGTATGGTAAAAAAAAAAATTACTTACGTATAGTCATATCACGATCGTGTTGTAAAACATTCCTTTCAGCCCATTTTGCTGCCTTTCGAGCTAATTCTTCATCCCACATCTAGAAAAACAATTTTCATGATCAGGACTAAGTTTTCATCTGGTTTACACAATGACTCTTCAATGAAAGAGATTGAGTTCTGTGACTGTGCAATATGATGCACATTCACCCCAACCCATTAAAGATTTTTTTCACATCTTAAGTAATAATATATTATACCTATACTAACAAGGTAGTAGATGAAAATAAAAATTTTATAAGGAACTCACCATCAGCTTAATGTTATTGCCTGCGGGCTGGTTGGGGACTTTACCTTGAGCTACAGCCAGTCTTACACGATTGTGACCATCTACGAATCTTTTGATGTGCTGACATGTTATTTGTAACACTGAAAATACAATATTTCATTCGTAACATACAACTATAAAATATTTACATTATTATATACTATATATATGACATAGTTGTATGCTACGAATGTCATTTTAAATATATTGAAGCGTTTAATGCTTCAATTTTGGATATTTCTGTTTTATTTAAAAAAGTTATTGATGGCTTTTTATCCATTAACGACTTTCGATATCAATTTAAAGGTGTATCTCTTATATTTACGGAATAATCGCCAGGGCATAATTAACAATTACACACTGTATATTACTTTGGTGACGTCATATTCGAAACCCAAAGATGATTCAATTAAAAAAGAAACGAAAGAGCAATCAATTTTTCTTTTAAATTAAAGACAAAATAAAACCTCCATTGTTTGTGGTTTCGCCGCTAATCACGGAACCCTCAAATTGGATCGTTACTCACAAGCAGCATGAATAAAAACTGATTTCGCTAATATTATAACTACCCGCAAAAACATTATTTCATTTTATGCACTAATAAAAAAACTTTCAGTGTGGAATGTATTGTCGTATTAAAAATATATATATAATTTTTTTTCATTATATACAGCTCTATGACATAGTGTAAAACAGGGAAAATAAGTGTCACTAATGTGTACACAAACGATAAGCAAATTCAATTTGTAATTCAATAAAAGTAAATGTAATTTGTTAAAATCTTTATTACCAACACAACAACAAAATTAGGGATCGAGCATTTTTATTATCGAAATTTTCTTAGTTATTTATTGTTTACTAAATACAATTTAAGAGTATCATAATACCTAGGTATTGAAAAATTTTATTATATAATTAGACATTAGATAAAAGTTAATACAAAATTATTTGCGTAAGAACCTCCATACAAAGTTCTACGGAATAGGTATATCGATATACTGGCGCTATTGTACGAAGTAGCCTATATTCTCTTAGACTAAAATATTTTCTGCTAAGAGAAAGCACAAGATAACAATGCCTCTAATCAAATAATAAATCAGATGTTGCTAGCAGCTTTGGGGTGCTACAAATCACCAAGCTACCTAAAACAACTGATCGGGCAACATTTAACAATTTATAGGCTTTTAATTACAGGGTTTTATTTACGAACAGATGTTTTCGAAAGTCAAGACCCAAACTAGAGTCAAAACATTTATTCATATATAAAAAAAATTGTTAATAAATAATAATAATAACAAATAAACAACATTCTTGGATTTCGCAAATGGAGTCTCTTTTCCCTTTGTCATTGACAAACTCTAAGCTTTGGACATGATTTGAGAATCTTAGGTTTTCGCGATTGTTACACATAGGAAATGAAACTATTTTTCCGGACTGGTGGTACGGAGAAACCATCTTCCCTGTTGAAATTAGGATGTTTTTTAATTTCAATGGCCTCTCGCAGCATCCTGGGCAGATAACGGACTTCTTTTGCAAGGACCTGGGGTTTGTCAAACTTCATTGAATGTGTAGGTTTATCCATGACATGCTCGCAGACTGCAGACTTGTTTACGCGACGGTGTTTGACATCAGCTATATGTTCTTTGCCGCGGGTACAAATACTTCGCTTTGTTTGTCCAATATAAGAGAGACCACACTCACAGTCAAGCTTGTAAACTCCTGCATCCTGTACCGTGACCATGGGACCTGTAAAGGGACGGGTCGGTTTGTTTGAAAAAACAAATATACGGGATTTAAATCCGGAAAAATAGTTTCATTTCCTATGATTTGAGAACTCAAGTTTATAATTAGATTTAAATTAAAAACGTTTATTTTTATGATTATTTTTTGCAAACATTCTTCAAATTGATTATTTTTACTAACATTAGGTATGGGAGAAAGGACCTTTGAACATTGTTTACACTGCCGTCGTAAGTGACAAATGGTCAAATAAACGTTTTAAATACCAAAAATTACAGCGCAAAATTCTCTACATAAGCAGTTCAAATTAGTTAACGTGTTCGCCTTATCGGAACTTACCCTGACGATGCATAGCTGAAATATCATCAAACAATTTCAATATTCTAAAACTGGGTTATGGTTTTTTTATATCTCAAAAAAAATATTTATTATCACTTACCGCGTTTCAGTTAGTAGACAACAGTAGGCATATCTCGTTGTAAAATCCTAAATCATTATTATTTACTTGTTTTGTTACTACAGTACTTAGTTGACTATAATTATTGATAATAGCACGATCAACCAGTTTATAATGCAGTCAGAATTCCCATTTTTGTGAAGGAACTCAAATGTTCAAAGCTGCCCCACACCTGAGGCAGCTTTGAACACGCTTGGGGCCTTTCGCCTTTAAATTTATCAATTGCCATTACTTACTTATTGCAAATGTACAAGTGGCGACGAATTCTAATATTTCGCGACTAGAACTGACTAATTCAGGACTTTTTCTGGGTGCAATTAGATCTAAGCTAGGAGCTGTGTACCTCGAGATTCAAAAATGGTGCCGCCGGAAAAAGTAGTATTATTTCAGCTTGGACAGTAAAACACCTTAATAACTTCAAAACGGCATAACGACTAAATTAGTAGTTTTTCACGACTAGAACCGAATAAATCATGACTTTTTTTAGTGTAATCAGATCTAAGGTAGGTGTTTTGGTTCTCGAGATTGAGAAATGGTGCCGCTGGAATAAGCTTATTCCAACGTGTACAGTAAAACACCCTTATAACTTTTGAACGGCGGACCGACTAAATCTAGTTTTTTGCGACTAGAACTAACTAAATAGCGACTTTTTATCTGGCTAGTCAAATTTCCAAAAATTCGAACAAGGTCACGCTGGAATAAGGCTCAAAATATTAAATGACAAAACTTTGTGGGTTCTTTTGAAACTTATGCAAATATTTCCGATTATGTGTGAGAAAACGAATATTATATTGGTTTGTTATTGAGTTGCACCGAAGGCAAACTTCTAAAAAAAGGAACAAGGAAACAGTAAAGTAATAAAAAGTCAACTTTCAATATTTATATCGTTTATTTCACATTTTCCTAATAGATATTTCTCACATAATCGTAATGGAATATTTATCCACAGCTTTAGACATACCTCCTTTTCTTTTTATCAAACATTATTGAGATGGTTTTGACGACATTACTTGTAGAATTCTGTCTGGTAGTGACTTCTATATAAGCAATAAGTAGTTAAACTTTGGTGTTTGTTAAATTATTATTTGGACCATAAGCTACAAAGGTTTAGGTAAATAAGTAAATGTAAAGAACCATAATGAAGTATTTTATGAGGCATTACCGTTACTTATTGGAAAATGATAATTATATTTTTTGAAAATGGGTCTAAATATATGATAATATTTTCAGGTAATAGACACTATTTCGAAGTATGTACATATTAAAATAGTAATAATTATATATTATTATATAATATAAATATTCCATTAAAGATGTTTAATAACACGTATCACAACTTCCCTGACCTTTAGGTTAGGTTAGTTCATCCAGCCTTTAAAAAAGATGACAGTTAACAGTGACCACATTGAAGAGTACAGCAGTAATATGACGTATGTAACTCACTACTAAATATTGTATTTGACTGGTTAACCAAGTGCCAGCTGAAGTTTGTTTACTTTTAGTTAATTACCTAAACCTTTATACTATAAGTACGCAACACCAGTTAGTACCCTTACAGATAGTGACCTTTGACATAAATGTTGTGTTTGTAGAAAAAAATATTCAGCAAGATTGGCCGTTCAATTTATGCATATTTCTTAACAAAAATCACAGAATTATGGTAATGTTCCATGGAAAATATCATAAGCACAAACAAAATGTGATACTTAGACGCTCTCATGCGAACTGAAAAGCGTCTGATTTCGTCAAGATTTTTTATTTAGTCATTTTTAAATCACATATTTAATCGAGTAAAGTAACATATTCGTCGTGATCAAACATTCTTATTAGTAATTTAATGATGTATGTCGCATTCACACGTACAAGCGGTCCCCTGTTCACCCCGATCAGCGGATGAACAATTGCCGCATACGTCCTGCCTATACGCAATACATAATAATTACATAGAACGCAGATTGCTCTATGCCGAATCCCCGAGGCCTTACACAACGCCTTTAGGGCTGCATGATATGACTGTAAACACACAATTACTATTTCTACTACATTTCTTGCATAAAATGTTAGCCAATCATTTTAATTATCACCATTAATATACTAAGGAGCTTAAACCCAAACGTTTGTTCTCAGTATTGTGTAATAATAATAACAAATAATTGAATAAATCTTAATTACAATAAGTCATTCTTGCCTAGTCTACGATTCTTTCTTGCTTCCCTACAGTTACTAATTATCTACAACAAAAATACAAGTTTCGCACGTTTTTGTCGGTCGGGGTCATCCGGGCATAGACTATTTTAGACTTATTTTAAGATATCCATTGTAATTTGTTGAAAATTAATTAATGAAACCAATCCAAAAGTTATGAATATAAAAAATAATCTCAACTATTCGAATATTTTGAACTAATACGTCGTCACCCGCATATGATATTTTGATTACTTCTCCTGATATAAATATTGGTGTACTTCCATAATATCGGTAAACAAGTTGCATTAAAAATAAAAAAAGTAATTGAAATCTACTTACGCTTATTATTATAAAAGTCTACAAATAAAAACATTTGTAGAGTAAAAAAATAAGAAGGAAAATTATTTCCATCGTTTATAATAGCCTTTTAGCGAGAGTCGATAAAAAAGAAATATACAGGCGCAATAAAATGGTGTAATCATACAGTGGGATATAAAAACATCCCATAACACAAAAAAATATATAAAATTGAAAAACAAACCCGTCGTCGCAACTATTTTAACAACGATTTCTTTGTAATAAAATTATTTATATAATGTATATAACATTTTTATACCACAAAAATTACTTCACCATTATGTTACACTTTATACAACTGAAGTATGATTATCGTTTAGCTATCGTTCGTAGGTCGCAAATTGTTTATAAATCAATTGACTCGTTGTGAAATCGCAATCATTATACCTTATTGTTGTACAGAGGCTCCAAAGAACTTAATGGATACTTTAGAATTAGATAATACTGTGATAGTCATGGCATACCCATTTATAAAGTCCAACTTATAGATTTTAGGCCACAGTTCGCCACGCTGGCCCAATACGGGTTGGGGAGATCACACGTTTTCTGAGGGTTGTATACCTTTTTCGACGCGCAGGTTTCATCACGATGTTCCCCTTCACCGAAAAGCTCATGGTAAATTTCAAATTAAATTTCGCACGTTAATTCCTACAAATTCAGAGGTGCGCCCGATTCGAAATTACGACCTCTGCTTGAGAAACATTAGGCTACCACTGCGGACAATACTACTAGCACTTTAGCATCGTAGATGCCTCAATTTTTTTTGTTGTTTGTGCTCAATTAAGTAATCTTTATAAATAATTCGAATTACAGATCCTAGATAAATTGAACGGATTTTAAAATACACTTGTTAAAGCAAATAATGCTTGAAGCTCATTTATTAACTCTCGCTAATAAGACCTGGATAATACTAGAAAATAAATATTAAGTGTTGGAATTGTTCTAATTGGTGCTTGGGCTATCGGTACCACTGCCGCTATTCTCGGTGGTAACCAGACTTTTGACAATTTTATTGTTCTTTTTAGCGGACTTGCTAAGAGTGGCTACTTCCTTTAACAGGTTTTGAATCTTGGTGTTCATAAGGTTGAATTTCGTCTCGTTCAGACGTTCCTTGTTCTTCATTTCGGTTCTAAGGTCTGTTGTGTCGTTATGGTGTTGGGCTTTAAGCTCTGTGATCTGAAATAATATGGGATGTTGTTATTAAATCAATGTATTTAGCATTTCAACTACATTAGTTAAGCTGAATCATTGTTTTACCGTCTTTTCCCGTAGTATCTATGTGGACTATGATTACACCAAATGTTGACTGCGTTTCAATAATGTTCGAAAAACGTCGAATGTGTTTTATGTACTTATATGAGCAGCAAAAGATGTTAAACAGTCCTCAAATATAAAGTCATAAAAATAACTATAAATGATGCTTACTTGTCTGTCTTTGGCGAGAAGCTCATTGTCTTTCTGTGCTACTTTCTTCTGCAAGCTGGCTATTGTCTCTTTCAGCTGAGTCATAGCCACTACGTGGTCAGAACTGTTCGGGTCTAGCTCGCCTGAAAAATTATCGTTATAAATTGAATTTCAACAATTTTTTACAATAAAAGATACTTACACATACCGAATGTACAGAACATACAAAACGGGATAATATTATTTGATCCTCAAAGATATAATTGATCTATTGCAAATGCGCCCTTTTTTTAAATAAATGTCTTTTTTATGTTTGATATATATGTATATTAACTGTTCGATCTATATTAGTTGATTTACTGATAAATTATAAATTAACTGCATTCAAGGTAACACTATCATTATGTTTAAACATACTAAATTAACATTTGGTATTCAAAAATTATATTTGATCCACTTTTTTTATGATTGGACTTTCCTATTAACGATGACATTTATAACCAGTATATATTTTGATATTGATCTCCTAATAAATCTTGGTTGCGCCCTCCATTCAGTAGGTGATGTTAGGTTAGTATATGAGAAAGCAGTACGAGCTGAGCTGCCGCGACAGCGGCCGGCGAATGCCAGAAGCCAATTTGCTTGAGTTTCTGAACACGTTTTCAGGTCAAATTTATATTATAATTAATACAATATTAGTATACAAATATAATCAACATTTACTTAGTTTTAAAAGTATCTTTAATAACCATTTGTCTTGGTTTTGAGGCCCAATATAAAACTATCAATGTAATTTTATATATACCAAACATTTTTAGTAGCGTAATAGAGCGTAGCTCAGAACAGATTAAAAATATTCATTGATTTCATTTATTTTATGACGCAGATAAAGAGGATCAATCATTAAAAACGATGACAGTTTACATTTTTTGCCTGCTGCTTTTCCAAATTTAAAATGATCATTTAAATGCATGCCAATGCAAAATTAACCAGCGCTGTCAACAGCGTGTCCGGTATGGACCTCGTAAAAAATTCGGTATCTTTGAAAAGTCAGAAAGTGTTACTTACATTTACCTTGCATAGGATGCATTTTGGACTTTTTCTCGAGTGGCTGCGAGTCATTTAACGAGGAATCGTTTGGGTTCATAGACTTCATTGAGTCAGACTTGCGCTTTTCCTTGTGACCACTTTTCGATCTGCAGTTTAAATATTCAGTAATGAAAAAAAAAATTACATTTTGGTTAAGAATTCACTTTTTATGTTTAGGCTATTACGCCAAGATACCTTAATGACGTACGCGACAATTACAGTAATGATGATTTTTTTTAATATTTATTTTTTGGAAGAGGCCATGTTTTTAAGACTGACTAATTGAGTAATAATTACAATTTAATGACATTCATTAATTAGGAAATCAACCCATAGCAACTTTATAATGCTCAAGTTTAGTGGTTTTTTGATCCTAACACAGTATAAATAATAATAATGTGGCATTTATTGAGATTTTCTGTGAAATAACTGCACTACTTTTGTTACGATTATGAATACAAAGCGGCGACGAATGCCGAAAGTCAGTACAAAAATCTATAACAAAAACACATATGAGAATTTCGACGATTCGGTAACTGGACCCATGACTCAGATGGTTACAGCAATGCTATGGTGCAGCATGGACGTCGATGCAAGTCCCACCGGGTCGACGAAACTTTTTCTGTGTGTTCGATCTTTGAATTCATAATCATAATGTGGCAGCCAAGCACATTTTTTACCTGGCATTAGGCCAGGTAGACCTTGAACTATGAGTACTAGAGCAAAAAATTATTCCAGGGCACAAAACATTACTTCAGATAGTGACATCTGAATAGTGTCTTAAAGTAATTTGTTACTGACCAAAAGAATTTAATTTCCAAATTGATCCTACTGGGAATCGAAGCCAGCCACAAAACTCATCATTTAGCAATCCCAATTATAACTGAAGTTGTCAATAGATTTCAATGAACAATTTCCATTTTATTGCTTCGAAAACTAAACAGAGGTCGTCAGAATAGATTTAGTAGTACTAATTTTTGAATGTTCGTATTGTCAAGCAGCATAAGAAATTAGGTTTTTGAAATTATGCAACATGAGGGCCTAAATGTATTTTGTAAGCTTAATGTAAAATAGGATAACCAGCTTACTTGTGTGATCTGTGCTTGTGTTTATCAACAGACGACAGGTGCTGCTTGGTGCGAGCCAAAGCCCGTTTCAGAGATTGGGTGCACAGCCAGCATAGAAGCTTACCATCCACCTGAAAAATCGAAAATTGTACATTTAAATTAGTATACATTTTTTAACAAAATTTAATATAATAACAACAGGGTGTGCACGAAGTGAGCCTCCCCGCAATGACGTACGGATTGTATTCCTGGTACATTCCTGGGCTACAAACAGCGAGTACATCACGCTGATTCGCTAATCCTTTCACCACGATGGCAAACATATGCCATGCACACACACATGCGTGGCGTGATAAGCGTGGCTAAGTTCTAGGCCGCAATAGTGTATGCCTCCGGTACGATAAGAACAAAATTTTTATTATTTGTTTATGGCGCAGTGCAGACTAACAGTAAAAGTGATATAAAAAAGTTTACATTATTAGATTTGAGTTCAGATATCTGTAACCAAGTGATACAAGTACATATGAATTTAAAATGTTAGCATGAAATTGCTGGAGCAATATTCAAACAATAACGAACTAGGGAAACCCTGTGTGGTGCCATGGACACACACATAGACAACCACAAATTACATCCAAACTCACAAGAGAAATAAATGTAAGTCATAAAATATTCCTTCTGGCCCGGGAATGGCACCCGGGACCTCTGCATGGCAATCCAGCATAGTAACCTTTGGGTCACAAAGAGAGTTTGAAACAATGAAAACCATCTTACGAACTGATAGCTGCTATCTCTTACAACAACCAGATTTGTGAAGTTTGTAAAATGAAATGACTTAAGTACATGACCACAGTTAATATTTTTACAATTATGGCAGTAAGTATATCTACTCTGAGGACGTTTACAATAAGCCTGCATTAAATTATCAGATATCTACCTTTTTACTATCATCATGGCGGTCGAAAGCGCAGCGCTGCTTGCACTGCTCGCATGTCACCGCAGGCCCGTACTTGCGCTCTGAGTTGGCGCAGCGTTGGCATTTGTTTCCTGTCGGCATTAAACAAAATTCACTACTCCATTGACTACAAACGAACAGGCGCAGGCTGCGTCGTGGGCTCTATAATTTATATATAATCTACTGACTAGAAGAATTTGATTGAACGTGAATGAATTTATAAAATGAGCCAGGCACAATTGACAGAGATTGTAAATTTCTTCTTTTTGGAAACCGCGTCTTGGACAACACTTGGAGTGTGGAGTTCTATGAGATGAAATAACCTGATTTACCTTAGTTTTTGTTACTTTAGCAACATTGTTGTGTATCAGTCATTACACAACCAACATACATTGGTATAGACATTCTGTCTACACTGCATTATGAGAAAATGCTAGAGGCTTGAAACTCGACCTGCAGGTGATGCTGTTGTCATTATACACATTTGTGCAATAAGTGTAAAAACACACAAATATGTTAACAACACACAGTTTTAAGAATACTTAATAAGATTACAAATAAATTCTTCATTAAAAATGTATACAAAGGCTTATATTACAATTTATTGTAAAAACTTTTGTAAGGATTTACATTAAAAATTATGATTAGTTTGTGTAGGCACATTGCTAACAATGGTATATTTTATTGAGTAGGCGCTTTTCTAACAATGGTATGAATGCAAAACTGTGTAAACTGCAAAATTTAGTGTGCTAGTTGCACACTAGCACATTCAATTATTGTTAAACAAAACAATGCGGTGTTATCAGGCAGGAAATACGACAATAAGCCAACAGGTTATGACTAATAAAAAGAGCATTGATGTTTAAGAAAACAAATTAAGTGTTATTGAACTCAAAAGCAGTTGGTATGAAATAAAAAGAATCAACAAAAGCTGCATTGAGAAACTAATTTCTTTCACATTATCTATTCTTCTTCTTCTTTTATGCTTATTGGTGGTGTCCTTTTTGGATTTCGCCAGTACGTTATCTATAACAGTAGGCTTAACATAAGCACCAAAATGAAAGATATCAAGCTGTCGATTTACTCTCAAACATGACATCATCCAAATTATCCCTTGCAAGTGACAAGCAAGACTATACTGGACAATAAAGCTATAAATAGCACCATAGTCATTAGAGAAAAGTGTCTCTACTCTTGGTAGTTCTGTCTACTTGTGCTTTTGCAAAACTTGCTGCAATGAGTCAGGTTCGGTGCTCATGGGGAAAACTTTGGGAAAATAAGGCTTTGATAAGTCTGTCATATCAATATGCAAGACACCATTTGCCTGTTTAAAGTAATCTATTGCGTCTATTTAAAAAAATATTTGAATTGGCATTGCCAATATGTCATACTAGATCTAAGATCTAGTATGACAATTTGCACAAATGCCTCTTACTGGAAAAATATTGGTTCTCTTACTTCATTTGTAATAAGAACACCATCCCCGTAGCACGGCTACGCATGATATGATAAAATTGAAATAAGCATGCGTTATTGGCCATCTAAATTAGATGTGATTGAGGCAGTCAATAGTGCGTGCTTATTTCAATTTTATCGCGCGCGTTGCGACTAACATTCGTAGCTATACTACAGGGTCTGGTAGGGTACATTATTGTTGTGAAATATAGCAAACAAACGTCATTAACAAATAAAAAGAATCAATATAATTTCTCACCAATGAAAGCAGCAATGATGTTGCAGTATTCACAAGCAGTTGGTTTCCCATATGCTTTTACATTCGCTTCACATTTCTTGCAAATAGATGAAGTATTTGACTTGCTGCAAATACACAGTAGAGATTAAAGCTTTATGAAAGATGTGTATGCAACTATTTATACATAGCTGGCTTTGAGTGCGTTAAGTCACGCGAAAATATTTTGCTTTTACCTGTTCACTGTTCATAACATATACGATATACGTTCACCTAAACTTTCAATAAAAATACGCTCGTAATCTTTAGCTAATTCGTTTTATACGTCTCGACTTTCTCTAGAAATGACGACGTAATCACCTTGGCAACCGACACTGACCTTGTTTGTTGGAACTCGGAGCGACAGTACGTGCACTTGACCACAGGAAACGATCCACGACATTCCTGAAACACCACGAATAACAAATGCGTCACAATCGACGTCAAACAAATAATTTGGACAGGTAAAAACAACTCAGTGACGGAGTTTAGAAAGACTAGATATTCACACAACGCTGCAACGCTGAGAGACTACATGTAATATCCAAAAAAAATGCGGATTACTGCATACCTTGCACAGTTGTTCGCCAGGAGACAATTCCTCGAAAGGGTGTCTGGAAAAGCAACGGGAGCAAGCAAACAGCGGTGTTGACGTCGTAGTACTCATTCTAACAGTGAATACACAGTGGGTTCACTACAAATTAATTTATCACACAAAACACTAAATAAGGAACAAAAACAAAGAAAATAAACTCTAAACCGCGTCGTGTGATTCAACGAATTGAATGAAAGATTGATGAAATATGGCGAAGGCGACGTCAAGTAGCCATTGATGGCGTCACATCGCTAGCTGTCAAAATGTGTTACCTTTCGTTCTCACTCATAGATGGTTAAACAGAAATACGTTTTAATAAGGTTTTACTCTATTATGATCTAAAACTAAAATACTCAATACAAGCAGCTCAATACTTTGTAGAATCATGAATAGTTACAAAATCAGTTTTTTTTCTTAAACCCAAACTGTGAAGAAAAGTTTTCTTTGTTAGCTTTTATAATTATTTTTGGGTAATTTTCCGAATAATTTGAAATAATTTTCAAATATATAGTGAAAACGTTCCCGGATAAATTTCTGAAAAATTGGAAAATATTGGTTAAAGGTTCATATTAGGTTCTTCGTTCAGAATTATCTTTTGGAGTTTAATTTAGCGTGAATTATAAAATAAATTTGTATAGCTAAAAGCAAGTTACAAAAAACAAGATTTAAAATTATTGGACAACAGTGAAAAAGAGAATCTTAGCTTTAAACAAGAAGATTTAAGCTTTTTGAGTAAAAATATTTTTTTCCTCCATGGTTTACGTTTAGTATCTTCAACTTTTGACACATATAAACCGTCAAATGTGAATGGATTTATTTTTTCCACGATCCAACATTAGCATACTACATAATAATAAAGGGTCCAATAATTATCCTGCCTCGCAGGTCACCTAGCCGTCCGCGCCGCCGCCGGCGCCGTAATGGAGGATTATGAATGTAGTCGCAACAATGGGCAGTGGGCTAAAACCCAATCAATGCGCTCAGGGCTATACCCAAAGCGCGGGTATAACCCATTTATGCCCAAAATCGTGAGCAGAAACCTTAGACTATGGTAAGGACATTTCAAAAAGTAATGCGATGTGAAACGTCAAGTGAGATGTGGAAAGAGCTTCACAGGCTGTTCTCAGGCAGGCTCTTCTTCCTTTGCTCCTGATGGAGCAAAGGAAGACAGAAGCTATGATCTTTGTATGAAGTTCTTCCGCTATCAAAAAAGCGAGGAGCATGATATGGCCACACATATTTCGACTCTCAAAAATATATGGTATGATTTAAATACCGAAACAAAAGAAAATGATCTTCCAGAGATTTTATTGATACGTAAAATACTAAATACACTTCATAAGCAGCATTTCAGTTTCAAATCTAGCTGGCTATTAATGAATAAGAGTGATCGGAATATTGAAAATCTTACCACGCATTTATGTACTCATGAAAAAGCTCTAACAAATGCTAGTGAAAATGCCACTAAGGTTAAAGCACTGGCAATTGTGAGGTCAAAAGAGAAAAGAAAGGATAAGGACTACAAAAAAAAGTGTAATTACTGTGTACAGATTGGACATAGACTCAAAACTTACTCCAAATGGAAATCAGATGGGAGACCACCTAACTCGAAACCTACTTCGACTCAAAATGCATTTAATATTAGCATGAATTTGATGGCACTTGACAGTACCACAGCAGACAAAGACAGCGAAAATTGGTATATTGACAATGGTGCAACTAGTTACAAAACCAATAGAAGCGACCTGTTTAAGAAATTTGAATACTTTACTGGTGCTCATACTGTAACAACTGCCAACGGCACAGCGGTTCATGCAATTGGAAAAGCAATCTTGAAATAATGGCTGATGTACGAGGACAAAGGAGTTAATAACTCTAAACGACGTATGGTTCGTACCTTCCATAAAGAAAAACTTATTTTCAGTGCTATCAGCTCAAGACAGATTACAGAACACTGTGTTTGAGTCTCGAACTAAAATATGTGTTATGAAATTTGAAGGAGGGCGGGATCTATTGATTGGAAAAAGAGATGCACGTGAAAGCCTGTACAAACTAATGGCTACAAATGTTAGAAGTCCTCATGAGATCAATCTTTTAGCTGAGTCCAACATGATTCAATTATATCACGAACGTTTAGGATACCAGAACAAAGCACATGTGAAAAAGGTAATTGAGAAAGAGCTAGGCATAAAGCTGAAATTAGATACAGAGTATTTTGAAGGATGCATTTTTGATAAAGCCCATCGATTCAAATTTGGCACAAGAGAGAGAGCGGAAAGCGAAATGCGCAGGACAACTGATACTCACTGACGTATGTGGCCCTTTTAGAGTTTCATTTTCAAAGTACAGATATTTCGTACTGTTTAAAGATGACTTCATGAAATTTCTCCAAGTCTATTTTCTGAAAGAAAAAGGAGAAGTTCACGAGAAACTTGTGCAAATGTTGACAGGGGATTGAATTTGAAAACGAAAAGATTAGTAACGTAAACTTACGAAAAAATGGAATCCGACAAAGACTTACGATGCCATATACACGGGTGTAGTGAGCGGGACAACAGGATACTTGTAGAATGTGCCCGAAACACGATGTATGGACAAAAAGAGGCACTGCCTCAAGGCTTGTAGGCTGAACTAGTCAATACGGCCGCTTACATAATAAACCGGACTGGTCCAACACAGTAAGATAAGTCGCCATACGAACTTTGGTTCGGTAAGAAACCTAATATCAAACATTTAAGAATCATTGGAAGCACCTGCTATACCCATATTCCGAAATGCAATAGAAAGAAAATGAATAAGAAAGCATTAAGAGGAATCTTGATTGGCTACGATAATGATGATGGATATAGAGTTTGGTGTAAAGAAAATAACACATTAGTAAGGTAAAAGGGACGCTTTTATTCAAGAGAAGACCCTCTCACCAAAAAGTGAAATTTTCATACAAGCACATTTTGAAGATCAATGGATCTTTTGCAGATGTCTCCGGTAATGACCGGAGACATCTGCAAAAGACCAATATAATGAAGAAACAGTTTACGACGATGAAAACGATGAAAGTTGTGATGAAGATAACATCTTTGACAAGTCCATTGAATCACGCAGAGAAGTTGACATAGAGTTAGAAAGTGAAGATTATCTATCTGCACATGAAGTAGAAGCTGAAGGCATGAGAACACTGAGATCGAGAGATAAAATCAAACTCCCTACTAAGTTCACGACTATGTTATGAATGTTGCTGACAATATGGAGTCAGCAAATTTTGAACCAAAGACATTCAAAGATGCTATGTTCATCCTGACAAAGATAAATGGCTTGAAGTAAGAAGTACCATTACCCAGGAATAGGTAACTCATTCCATGTAAATGGATCTATAAGGTAAAGACCAAACCCGACGGTGCTATCGAGAGATACAAAGTCCGATTGGTAATTAAAGGACTTACCTACTCAAAAGAAAGGACTCGACTATTATGAAACATTTAGTCCTGTTGCTAAGACAAGCACTATAAGAGCGTTGCTGAGTGTAGCCGCTAAAGAAAAAATGAAGCTAGGACAATTTGATGTGTCAATTGCGTTTCTCTATGGCACCTTGCACGAGGAGATATATAGAAGCCACCAAAAGGTCTGACTGATAACAACTGTAAAATGGTATGCAAACTTAAGAAAAGTCTCTATGGGCTAAAACAAGCATCGAGGTCTGAAACGCTTGCATTACCGAATATATAATACAAATTTATTTTTTTTAGATTTTCAACAAAGTTCTGGAGATCGGTGTCTGTTCACCAGACCAGAAGGTGAAAGAAAAGTTGAAATAGCTTTATATGTCAATGACGGATTGGTGGCTGCACCTGACGAGACGGGAATGAAAGATTTGTACGAAGAGCTCAGAAAAAGATAAGCACTAAGCCAACCACTAAGCCTGCGTCTTACTTTCTTGGTATAGAAATAAAGTGTAATGATGATGGATCTATCAAAATAGATCAGAAGGGCTATGCGACAAAAGTTTTAAAACGTTTTGGTATGACATACTGCAAGCCCGCAGCAACTCCGATTGTAAAGGATATTCAAAGAGTAACAACAATTGAGAACCAAGATCAGTTCCTATATCGTGAAGCAGTAGGTGCTTTAACGTATATAGGTACAAGACCAGATATAGTATTCGCAGTTAGAGTGGTCTCGACAACCCTACAAAACCCTTCGATGGAGACATAATAAAAGTCAAAAGAATATTTCGCTACATTAGAGGTACAATGGAGTACGGCATTACATACAGAGGTAATAATAAATCCATTGTTATGTATACTGATGCTGATCTTGGAGGTGATACTAGCACAGTACGATAAACATTAAGGATGGTCTGCGTTTTTTCCAGTGGAGCTATCTCCTGGCGAAGTCAGCGTCAGAAAACAGTAGCACTTTCATCAAGCGAAGCAGAAATTGTAGCTGCAAGTGAAGCTACTCTCGAACTACTGTGGCTGAAGCGAATAATTGAGGACAGAGCTATGGAGGTGCAAACCATAGTATGGCTGATTGATAGTGAGTCTGCACTAAAACTTAGAAAAAAACCCTATAGAAAAGCACCACCTCACGAAACACATGCACGTTCAGATGCGGCACTTCTTCCTACGAGAATGTTTACTAAAAAATAAAGGGAACATATTAAAAAAAGGCAGAAAGTGCCCTCGGAGAAGAATATAGTTGACATGATGACAAAGCCACTGTACAAGCCAAGGCTACTCTATCTAAGGGAACTAATAGGTCTCCAGAGAAGAAGAGAGGGAATGTTAAGAAGGTTTTATTTATAAGTAATTTTTTTCTTCTTCTATGTCTGTCGTTCCATGTCATCTGTTATACACTTCAAACAAATATATATTTTCAAGCTAACGTTTGTACGTTTTAATATATGTTAGTTAAGTCAAATTATATTTTTATTACTTGCCAAAATTATAAAACCAGTTCTCTCGACTAGACTACTACTCGACCATACACACTTTGTTACTTTGCCACCACCATACGCAGTATAATATCATTGACCATACGTAACACCGTAGTGCAGCATAAAAAGGAGGACGCGTGTGACAGAAAGTTTATCTATAGATTTTAAGGCTTTCATGGTTGTTCAAAATGATTATCACTATTTTCAGGCTTCTTACCACGGTATCATCTGCCGCCGTCCAGTCAACCCGTGATCATGGAGCGAGCAACCGTTCTAAAATTTCGGGAAAATAAAAAGGTATTCATACCCTGGTAAGAAGCCTGAAATTAGTGAGTCATTTGTTTATCTCTGTTCTTCCATTTTGCTCCGTTTCATTCTTTTATTTTTATTCCGTCCTCTAAGTTTACTTCGAACGGTCCAAACTCTTAAGTGTCAAGCTTGACGTGTTCTTGACTGTACCATTGTTTCATGTGGCGTGGTGTAAACGAAATCTGTGCTAGACATGGAATTAATAAGTAGTTGTACGAAGTACTTATTAATTCCATGGTGCTAGATTAATAGATTAAACTAAAATTTTATTTTATTTTATTTATCGGTTATTGAGCATTGGATATAGAGCCAAACTCAAAATCAAACCAAAAATTAATTCGTATCACTGTATTTCGTAACTCGTGTTACAAAAACCCGCCATTTCGTTTTTGTCTATGCTAAAACATTTTTATGCCCTTTTTTGTGACCATATTTATTATATTTAAAAACGAAGAGAGATAACACGCATATATTTCAAAGTAGATCTAAAATATATTGCTACTTCTTTTTCTATATCTATTTTGCCTTAACTAATGATGTAAACTTATGCGTCAATAAATAAAAAAAAATTGTTTGTGGTTAACTGATTGTTTTGTTTTGTGCCAAGATTAATAAAATAATAAGTTTTTTGGAAGTTATTTCAGGCGTCATGACTATTTAGCATTGAAAAATAAATTATGTGACCAAGCATATATTTACAAAATGACTATTCCACCGTTTCCTTCCCAAGACTTGGCTAAATTGGTGCTTGGTGAGTTGTTCACTTAGGCGGGAAGACTGTTCTTTCTTGTGTATTCGTAGTAGAGGACGAGACACAGTTCATCATTCTTTGTTTATGTTCCCAGGATATTTGGCTGAGGAGCAGCTTATGACTGCATACGATGAATTCCTTGAAGCAAGCCCTTATTTGGATGCATTCAGGAACGAATATGACAGAATATTCATGACATCTTTGAAGAGTATTCTTGCGGAATATAGGGCAGTGAAGATTTACGGTTGGTATCCGCATGACCTTCTATTCATCTTACGAAAATGTGGATTATTCACATAGTTGTATAGTTTATCAAGAATCTAGATAAATGCGTCATAACATAATTTGCCTTGCCTTTTTATGTATTTATTCGTGTTGCTCCTATTTTCAGTGGAAACCTGCAGGCCATATGCATTAAGGAGACGTTTATTTGGTTGCACCAATCTGTTGGAAGTAGTGAAGTTCTTGATACAAAATGTGGATCTCAACAAAATTAGTACACAAGATACAATCTGTAACAAATCCAGGTTTAAAGTTTATATATATTTATTTAAACACCTTAGCCCAGAGGTTTCCAGACTTTTTTCTCATAGACCACTTTCAAAATTTAGCTGGTTCCTGTGGACCCCCTGCAGCTACATTTCTACCATATTCCATATCCATATTATTTTTTGTCACACCAACGTAGACCCCTGTCGAGTCTTCCTTGGACCCCTGGAGGTCCAACTGGCCCACTTTGGGAACTAAGGCCTTAGCCTATAGTACAGAGAAAGCAAAGCAACATTTAGATATGTGTGAAAATGAAATAGACTAAAAAAGGCATAATCAGTAGTCTTGCTTTCTGTGAAAGATTTTGTCCACAGAAGTACTGATAGAATTTTTATTTCTGCCACCTTGCAGTTATGTGAGCATTACTCCATTTTAGTTGTGAAGATTAAAGGTGCTGGTGACACTACAGACACCAGAGTCATATCAATACTGTTTTTAAGGGTGATGACTGTAATTGCAGTGCTTTTTGGATCTTTGCAATTTAAAGTTTTGAGTGGCACTGCCAACTGTTATGGGTCAGCAGGTTGCTTACCACCAAGCTTACAATGTTCATCTTGTCACTTAGTAATTATAAAATAAAATTACGAGACTAACTCCTAAACTGTCTGTCTACGAGGCAGTGTTCAGTCAGGTGGTACATTTTTTGTTTTCAAGGTCTGTTGTTGATTAAAAACGTGACAAAATAGGTGCTCTAATTTAACAATGTTGTGTTAAACATGTGTAATATTGTGCCGTATTTTTAATATGTTAATCTATATGATGATAAGCAGTTTCTTGTACTTAGCAAGTTTTTCCCTAAAGCTTAAGAACATTCATAATGTCAGTCTCCAAATTGCCTTGTTGGTTTGCTGTGTTTGAAATTGTCTCTAATAACAGTTTCACACTAATTGTAATGGAGCAAAACACAATGCTGCAAAACTTTGAACTTGACACTTGTGACAATCAGTGTTGTCCAAAATGTGCCAGCAAAGTTCCTTATACTTTAGTTATCATATTATTGATACACAAAATTTAGAACTAAAATTTTTACCTGACTGCCTCTGTGGCCGAACAGTTACCATACTGGACTGCCATGCTGAGGTCACAGGTTCAATTCGCGGGCCGGGAGAAATATTTGCATGGCTTACATTTACTTCTCTCGTGAGTTTGGGTGTAATTTGTGGTTGTCTATTTGTATGTCCATGCCACACCGGGGCTATGAGTGTGTAAAAAAAACCTGTACATAAACACAAAAAGTGGAATAATTACAATATATTTGTTATGATTGCAGAGGATGGGCAGTAAATAATACAAGTGTGCCTGCAGAGTCCACTTTACAGCCAGAGGTTTCTCAAACACAAATATCACAGCTGTCATCTACAAAGTAAGAAATGAAGTGATTTAAATAGAAACTACTTTAATCAGGTCTCATATTTAAGTTATAACAAGCTGTTTTATTGTGGATAAGATTATGAATACAATAGTTTTACTTGCAACAGAGAAACCTGATCTGATAAGGAGTATTTTGGGGTGGATGGGGTCAGGTTTTATACTTTAACTTGTCATATATATTCATTTAATTGAACAGCAAATGTTGGTTTATTGGGAATTTAAAAATGTAGCTGTAAACTAAAGTGTAGTAAATTTTTATAAAAGAAATTGTATGTTAAGAGGTTTTTAATACTTTATGCATTACTGTGATTTCAGTGTTGACAGAAGTACAGCCAATGAGCAAAGAAATCAATGTGCAGTATGCAATTCAATGCAGCTACCAATATGTGCCTGCAAAAGCAGATGTACTGTGCAAAATGTAAATATAACTACAAATGAAGTAGATTCAAACCTTTTGGAAAGTTCTGTTGAAGCTACTGGATTAGATGATATTCCAGGTAGGGTATTTTTTTCGCTGTTTAATAATTTAGAAAATGTTAATATTTTCGAATGTATTTTGACAGTGTTTTCATATCAATCACAAGCATATTTTAATCAGTACGATTGTAAATTTGTACACCTATCTGTACTTCTCTTTTAAGAGTTATGATTCATTAACAACATGTTGCATTACTGCCTCCGTGGCCGAACGGTTACCATGATGGATTGCCACACAGATGTCCAACATTTATTTCACTCTTGATTTTGGGTGTAATTTGTGGTTGTCTATGTGTATGTCCATGGCACCCGCGATACAGGGTTTCCCTAGTGCGGGGTTATGAGTGTGCTGCGTTATGAGTGTGAACACCAATGCAAATTAGTGAAATGTTGTCACTGCTATGTGAAATGATATCATAAATGCGACCGTAGTATTTATATAATGGCGTATGCCATGTCTCGAGGTCTATTTCCTACTTGTAGCAAAGAATAACATTAGTCTAATTTATTTGTCACATGCTTTATACCTAGTGTTGTGCTTCCTACCTTTCAGAGAATAGAGAATAGTAAATTGGATGTTCTGTTATTTCAGGTAGTTATACCACAACACGAAAAAGACATGTAAGAGTGTTAGACAAAGAACCAGTATCACAATGTGAACCAGAAAATGATATTATCAAACAAGATTCTTTCGGAGCTGACTGTGCTGAACAAAATATACTAACACATCAAGTTTCACATGAGCGGCTTCCTCATGCAGAGACCCTAAATAATAATATTGTTGTAAGTAATTTTCTTGAAAATTTTTCAAGCTCTGTTGTATATGCACACCCCACTGTGAGACCTTGTGATTTTAGGTTGATCCAGCCAGGGAGTGTGCACAAAAAATAGAAGAATTTGATAATATTCTCAATGTTGTTTGTAACAAGAACAACAATAATTCTGAAAGTTTAACACATAATGGAGTCCCGGGCACATTTCAGGACTTTGCTACAGGTGTGAGAGGTAATTAATTCCTTTGATACTAGGTAATAGTAATGATACTTAACAATTGCATTAATAAATGATTATGTACTATACTTATTCAACAGATGGTGAAAATCAGACTATGCAATCATCTACATCCACTAATATTAACATAGCGTAAGTATTAATTTTATTTTAAATCCTATGGTTGTAAAATTTGGCATGTTACTAAATTTTTTTTTCCATTTTGTAGACCAAGACTGACAGGTATAAATAAGTCAGTAAAAGGTGTGACACACATTTTCTTAAATATTGGAAACCAAGGGAAAAATCAACTTATTGATTTGAACTCAACTGTTAGTCCTGGAGAGACATCTACACCAAACATATTCAGGAGGCTAGATTCTAAACCTAACGAACAAAGAATAACAATCTTGTCTAATGTCAAAGTAGACAAAGCAAATACTAATAATGCAAACACTCCACCTGTGCTTAAAAATGCTACATCAACTCCAATGATGCATATGCAAACCATACTTATAAATGGAACACCTGCGTATAAGGCTACACCTCAGATAAATCCCAAGTGTAGTTACACTAAGGATGAAATTATGGCTATGCCAACTATAATACTTGTACCCACTACAGGTAAGTAAAATTGACAGTATTCACTTAATTAGTGCTATATTTGTATCCATATATTTCATAGTTTTTTTGAGGTTTTTATAGTGAGTGTGTATTTCAGCTCCTTCACAAATTCCGCCTAACATTCAGAAGACGACAATAGCGCGAGATCCAAGTTTTCCAACGTGTACAATTACCTCTGAAGCTCAACCTTTGGGGCCTCTAGTAATTGATGTGTCATCGAATAATGAACCTGTAAGCAGCAATGATACGATTGTTAACAACCAAAATGGAAGCACCGAAAGAAATCAACAGAACGATCCAAAGAAGGCTGAAATGTTAGTCAAAACTATTGATTTGAAAAATGCCTCTGCGCCTAAAGATACCGAAGTTGAAAACAAAAGTACACCTCAAGTACAACCTCCGTTAAGAAAGTCCTCATCAACGCCTCGACGTACATCCCATGTTAGAGTTTTAGATTTCACTACTCCAAGAAGAATTTTACAAGAAAATATAAATGAACAAGGACTGGATGAAAATGGTCAACCCATGGAAGTTGTCGTAAGTAAAAGTCCCAGCTTACAATCGTTTGTAGAGTCTGCTAGCAAAGGTGATGACCTAACAAACATTCATAATGAAGAGAAAAAAATAGCATGTAATGATAGTAACACCAGTGGCTCGTCTAAAGAGAACGAAGGTGCAGGTAAAGTCGTTTTGAAAAAAGTGGTACCGGTAAAAACATACAATTGGGACGCCGGTTTAAGAGCTTTAGTTGGAACCAAAGATGACGTGTCAAAACAAAAACAAAAACCAGTTATGAACAAACAATTGACGACGACCGATAAACTAGCAGGAGAAAAAGAAAAAAATGTAAGTGAAAAAAAGAAATCTAGGAAAAATCATGTTTGTAATACTAAATCAAAAAATAAAGAAACAGAAGAACCAGCTTTGAAAGTGGAAGATACTACAACTATACCAGCAAAACCTAACATAAACATAATTACTAGCAATGATTGGAATAGCTTACATGATAATGATAAAAATCAGAATAAATCTCACAACGAAAAACAGACAGACACTCCTGAAATGGAGAGAATTTCGTTACAAAATGCTCTTGGGGTTAAACTTAATATTTCTGATTTATTAGAAACTCCCTACAAACAAGCTATTTATGATATACAAATGGAAACTCCAAGATTTTTGGGACCTGATCTACCAGATGTACCATTGTCTGATATAAAGATAATGAATATACCAACACCTAGGTTTTTGAATACCCCGAAGCCATCACAAGTTACTCCATCATCATATTCTTCAAGGCCAACTGACTATTCTAGTGGAGGATCGTACTATAAACCCGATGACCAAGATTATATACCTGTAGACTTGGAATACCCTCCTATCTCTTCATTGAAAGATGTTTCCCAAGTTAAAACTGTACAATCAGTAATTGAAAAGCAAAAAGAGAAACAAAAATCCAATGGAGTTAAGAGTAGACCTGTCAGAAAATGTACAAAAAATGTGTCATATTACAATAGTCCTATAGTAAATAAAACGAAAGAGGATGAAAAATCGGAAGTAGCGTCATCGTGTAGTGATTCTATTAGCGCTAACAGTCCCAATAATAATAAAGTCACAAATTTAGACCATAAAACAAAAAATGTTAGGACTAAGACAAGAACAAAGTCGGAAACGAAACGGAAGTCAAATACTGCCAGAAAACGCAAAACTCCAGTGAAAAAAGACACTCCAAAATCTTTTATGAAAATTAAGCCAAGAAAACCTACCCCAACGAAAGAATCTCTTAGCGGGAGATATAAAACAAAAACACCAGATTCATTAACCAGGAAAAGAGTTGGCAAGGAAAAGATTATTGGTGCTACACCTCTTATTGCCACTGCCCCGACAAAATCACGTAGAAAATCATCAACTCCTAGAAAACTACACTGCACTAAAACGTTTAATTCGGAAAGTTCTGGTCACAATTCTCCTGAAATTGCGTCCGCAAGTAAAGAATCAAGAACACGGGAGTCGAGTGTGTCAGTAATTCAAGATTCTGATACAGAGCAGTTACGTCTTCGTTGGTCTGATGATGGCTCACAAGACGCAAAACCAAAAGATCAGCTAGCGAATAATTCGACCAATGAAAGTGAAGACATTACGAAAATTAAAGAATACATTGAGACTACCGAAACGGTTTATTCTCGTTCGGAATGTAATTTACACATCGACTTAGTTAAGAGAGGGTTTGACATTGAAACAGCTAGAATAATTGAACGAGATTTATTGGATACGCCACCAGTTCCTTCTCCTGTTGGTGTTCTTACTCAAAAGTATACATCACAAGAAAACACCAGTGCTTCAGTAATTGAGATAGCAGAGTCAACTACTACTACAACTAAATTTCACACAGCTGAGGACAATGAAGAAACCGAAATAGAATTTTCAGTCAGTGAATGTAATGAAGAGAGTAAGAATTACTTTACCTGTGTCCATGATGACACTGAGACTGTACTTAAAACAGAATTACCTAAACTTAAAGATAAGTTTTCTATGGAAGTGTGTATAGACGACGACGTAACGGTAAGATTAAGAGCTGCGCCTTTTACCGTGTTATTAGAACAAGAACCTGTAGAAGCAGAAATATTGGAAGATATTTACAAAGAGACAGAAATTGCGGTCAATTCGATATCTAACATTGACAGATTGTATACTCCTTTGAAAGATCCTGTAAAGGCTCAGTGCTACGAAATTTTTGACTCTACTCTAACCAGTTTGGACACACCATTGAAAGCTGCTAGTCCTAAAAGGAAAGAGTGCGATGCAGAGATCATATTAGAAGTTGAGAAAGTGGAAGTAAAATCGGAAAAATCGGAAATGAAGAAAAGAAAAAGACTTCATAGTTCAGAAGTTTCTGAGGAATCCGCAAATGAGAACAAAAGATCAAAGCCTGACACTCAGTACTTATTAACTACCACAAACATACAGAATATAGATATAGAGACTGTCTTGTCCAAATTACATGGACCCTAATGATATTATAATTGTTATATACTGTTAGTATTTATTGACATAAATTATATTGCTCTGTTAAATTTCTATTATCATGTAAGCGCTAATTGTATATTCTTTAGTTAGTGTACACATATATCTGTACATAGTAGTTTTACCATTGAAGAATACCTGATGTGAGTTTTTTTGTAGTAAACCATAAGCTTATTTGTATAAGTTATTTATGTGTTCGACACATAATTAAGTTCAACCTCAAGTTTTGTAATATGGTTCCCTCTTAAGTGAATGATAGGTTTTTAAATAAAGAGATTTTTGTACTGTATTGTTTTTGTAACAATGTTTCTTTTATTTTTCTACCTTTGTGGTCAAACGTTGGAATAATTGGAAGATAAATCAACAGTATTTTCTATTATTTAAAAGTAATGAAGATAATTATTAACTGCCTCCGTGGCCGAACGGTTACCATGTCGGACTGCCGCGCAGAGGTCCCAGGTTCGATTCCCGGGCCGGGAGAAATATTTGAATGGCCTATATTTATTTCTCTCGTGAATTAGAGTATAATTTGTGGTTGTCTATGTGTGTGTCCATGGCATCCGCGATACAGGGTTTCTCTAGGTGTGTGCGTTATTATTATTTGTGAAAGGTGCGAAATTTCGAACAAATTCTAGATAACTTCTTACGACGATAATTTTTTATACCTAAGAGTGATTACACCCGGCGACTTTTAGCAGCGATATGAACGCTGCCGTCCACTAATTAAAACTAAGTGAATAAGGGGCTAAGTGACAAATGGTCAAATATTCGTTTTAATTAGAAAAAAATTAAGCAGAAAATTCTCTTTTGAAAACAGTTAAAATTAGTTAACCGAGTTCGACTTACCAGAACCTACCCTAACGACGCGTAGCTGAAATATCATTGAACAATTTCAATAGGTATTCTAAAACTGGGTTATGGTTTTTTATGATATCTCTAAAAAACTTGTCACTTAGCCGCGTTTTAGTTAGCGGACGGCAGAACGCGCGATTGAATCGCTACACAAACGCGCGTAAATGGCCTTTTATTTTGACGAGGGGGAAATCTTGCGCGTAAATGGCCTGTAAATCCTAAGTGTAGCGACGCAATCGCTCATATGTATCGATGCAGTCACGTGTTTGCAGTGCTGCTTTTAAGCAGCATGACGACCTGACTTTAGTCGCGTCGTAATTACCTAATCCCGAGTGTAGCGATGCAACCGCGTGCTTGAATCGCGTTTGCATCGCTGCTGTAAATCGCGCGCGTGTGTAACCGTTCTAAGGTCCTAATATCCTTTCAGTTTTCTTAAACTATTTCTCGGAGCGCATTTCTTCGTAAACAAATGATCGTCAAATATGTACAATCGCTTGTTTTATCAATTAATAAATCTTGTCAAACATTGTATGCGACCCATTCAGGTGTTTTAGTCAAATCCGTTAATAATGAGGACGCTCGCATGCGCCTCAATTTACGGTCGGATTGCGAGCTTTGGCCGCTGCGTGCAGTTATTATGGTATTCCGTTTAATTAGGTATCGCAATTATAGACGATCGTAACACGACGAGAACTGTTCATTATTAGCCTTGCTAATGTATAAATCGCTTGACTGCTTCAGCGCTGTCATGAAAACATCTTTTAATGGGGGTTTTCACAGGAAACGTGAAAGTTTTTTTATCCTACTTAGAAAAAACATCGTTGGCCTCCCGCACTGCAGTGGGATGAAAATAGTTTAAAATTGTGATTTTTATTTTTTTACTTGACACTTCACGGTTAGTGTTTCTGCCACGGACCCTCCATTTGTTTGTCTTGGCACTTCACGGTTAGTGTTTTAATCACGTTTTACCCTTTCAAAAAGGGGTTATTAGTAAAGAAAGGAATTTGAATTTCGAGTTAAATGTATGGTAAAAAAGCGCTATTAAAAAGATGATACGGGAAGAAAATTGTTTCTAAAGAGAACAGTGGCGCTAGCACGTAAAGATGCGACTTGCGCGAGAGCGACATAAAATGCGAGATGCTCATGCAAAATTCGCGCTCTCGCGCTATTCGCGCCCTATCGTGCTAGCCCTGCTGGCGGGGCTAATCTGGCGGTGAACATGCTTAAAACGTCATTTATTTCTTTTATTCCTGACATATTAAAAGCTAAATTTTTCATTTATTTTCTCGAAAATTAAACCCAGTTACAAACCGATTTCAATTTTATTTTAATACTACCGATTATGTGCGCTTTGGGCTGATAGGTAATTAATTTAAAATAGTCATAATAGTTTAGCGCGAAAGTACCTACATTTTGTTATGATTATGAATATAAAATCGAACACACAGAAAAACTTGGTCGACCCGGTGGGACTTGCACCCACGTCCATGCACCAACTGAGCTATGATATAATCAAAACAAAACTAGTGGAGTTATTTCACAAAAACCTCAATCTCAAATACCTACATTTTATAAAAAGAGATTGTGTTATGTTGACATAATTCAAAATTTAACTATTGCAATAACTGCACGAGTAATTTTATTTTGAGTTAATTATTTGGGTAAGTATATTGCGTTAAGTGGGTTGTTTTATAATCTACTTGGTTTTTGTCTTAGAGTTGTTTTTACACGCCCTGGGTTTATAAGTGTTTTACTGACTATTATACATATTTTATACTATTACATGTTTAATTCTGATTGGTTTCATAGCAGATATCTCTGATGACTTAATTAATACACTTGGAATCCAGAAAAATATTTCAAGTAGTTATCAAGAGAGAAATGATACTTTCCAACGATATCTGTCTATCTACTAGCGTACCTTTAGTACTCGTGTAGTTTCTACAGTGCTTAAGTACTTATTTACAGTTTCAAGCGAATATTCAACTCCGAAAATACAGTTGAGCTCCAGGAATCTCGCACAACTATCGTGTTCGGCTGTTCATTAAAAAGGAAGAGATAAACTTTACAACCCTTTTGTAACTCCACCCAGTATTACTGTAGATAAGTATAAAACGTTTTATTGTCAATAAAGGCGAAGCTTGACATAACCTAGACCAAAATATACGGCAGTGTCGGTGGTTTGGGAAGGGGAGAGAAGTAGGTCACGGATGCAAGCTCCTGACACAGATAGGGTAGCCACGTGGCGTCGTGCCTCTCAATATCGCTGCAAGGGAGGCACTTACAGAAAATTCAGCTTGGAAAATGTCGACGACGTTAGGTACGAACGAACCGAGGTCGAATAAAACCACACATGCTATTTTATTACGTAGAAGAGGTATGTGAAGTGATTTCGTGATTACCAGGTTTGGTGGGGCTGAATTTCAAATGCTCTATATAACTAACTTAAATTTTTGTGTAGCAATACCTACTTACGGAGTCCATAACGTGTTTACTGGATCCGGCTACTCGTTAGAACATAAGTATATTTTCGAATGAAATTGTGTTAATGAATTAGGTATTGATGTGATGTCTGTACTATTCTGTACTTACTCACTTGCCGAGTATTGTAGAGATAAACTATCTGTTAAATATCTCTTTAATTCTCAGATTTCGTGTCTGACTTCTGGATATTTTTCTTGTTCATTGCAAGTACCTATTGTGTCATTCTTGATATTTCTTTGAATAATAGCTATAGAGAGTACACACTATAGGTGTCGTGGGAACATTCTACCTATCGTGTAGACGGAGCGAAGTGTGCACTACACTCGTCTTGTTATATCGGTTATTTCCCATTTGACGATAAATTTAGTCCATTCGTATTTCATTGCTTGCAATGTGTTGTGTTCTTGGTGACATGTTGCAAGCATAGCAGGCAGTGTATTCTTGTCTAAAAGGAATGGTGGGGGATTTTGTGACGGCTAGTAATTCCAGAGGCAGTTCGGGTATAAATGATTGCGGGTGATTTTGCACCACCCTAAGTCCTCCCCAATGTCTACCCACCCCTCCCAAAGTGCAGCGCCGACGCGACGTCGCTCCGGACAATCTGCGTGCTCTGCTTATTTTCACCCGTAATTCCTTTGCCGGAAATTGCCTTTATAAAGAAAGGAATTTAGTTTGGGAGAGTAGTACCGCAGAAGAGATAAGACGAATTGGATAGTTGTCTTAACAAATTAAGCAGCTTTTGTTTGAGTTGATGTTTGTTTTAAAAATATTTTATTATATAAGCTAAGATACGTTTTTCGTTTGTTTTTCACGACTTTATCGAATTAGCACGTCACAAAATGTCGGATACCTACGACTATAGATGATAAGCAGTGTAGATTTAGCACTATGGCCCTTTGTTAAAGGTCATTTCTTCTGTTACTGTGACCTCTTATGATCGGGCTCGCAGCCAAGTAGGACGGGTTTTCTGTTTTCAACTTTTGCCAGCATACGTCGCCGTATTAAGTTTATTTATTTTTCATAATGTTTCCCGTATGTGTCAGTATTGTGTAAAGTTATGTCTTAGGACTTGACCCTAATTGTATTTATAAATATTGATAATAAAAAGTATAGTCAATGTAACTCGTTTTCTGCGTGTCAGACGGTACCTCATTTCGTCGCTTTTTACGTTTAATGGTTTCAGGCAAATTTTTCCTAACTATAGATAAATGCATTTAAGACATTTTACTCGAAGCGGCTCCTATCAACCTGAGTTTCTTTGTGTTCCTCACCTCGGCGTGTCTTGTCCACTAAAGCAGTACGTAAGTGGCGAGTGTTACTTTAAAGTGTGTCAATTGATGGCTCGATGTGCGTGGCCCCCACCCCTTAAGGTGGGAGAGTGTGGGGCAGGTCGGATCGATAGGCGACGTCTGGCTCACGACCTCGCCTTTCTTACCACCTTCCTAAATACTAATTACGTGCTTTCATACAGCGTGCAAGCCCTGCACCGAATGAAAAGACCCATAGGTAACTACGGAGCGTTATTAAAACTTTTTCGCGCTGTTTTGTCTTTGTTTTTGGTGGCGTGTTTACGTCTTGCTGATTTCGATTGAAGACGACTAGGTATTTCAACATACCTAGTGCGTGAACAAAAGACGAAAATACGTTGCTTATAATGAAAATATTTTGCTAATATATATAATATACCTGTACTAATACAGAGGAGTAAGGTCATCCATAAAATTTTCATAGATTTTTCACGAATGGCGCCAGGGCAAAAAGTCGTTAAAAGCAAAAAAACAGATCTGCAACAAGCACATAAAAAATTCGTAAAGTCTGCTGGTCCGAATTCAGCCGGATTTTCATTTTTTGTATTAATAATTATAGTAAACTAGTGGAGTAATTTTACAAAAAAATAAACAAA